GCGCCAAAAAAAGCGTGCCTTTTTAAAAAGCGGGCGGGACGCGGGAATATGCATCAAAGGCGGGGGTGTCCCGCCAAAATCGGGACGTCTGGTCACCTTAGTAAAATGAAACTGCGACAAGGTTTTATAATGCATTTTATTTTAAATCTGTTTTTAAAATTCTTTCAAATTATATTTTTTCTCAGAACTGCATTAAAAATGAAATTTTGGTTTTTAAAGTACATATTTTAACATAAGCCTTAAATGCAGCATGGAACTATCAGTGCAGAGATATCTAAATAAATATACTTTTATAAGTTTAAATTAAAGACTTCACTAAGTGCTTCTTTAGTTTCATGTAGATTTTCTTGAATGTGGCAAGATTATTTTTCTGTGGTAACAGAAAGAACTGTGTTTTTATTGCATTCTCATACTTCCTGCAGAAACCCTTTTGGAAAATGATTTTTAAAGCGTTAGTATTTGTCACTTTTGTTTCATATGACGTCTAGTTTGCAACTCTTAAATAATTTTTAGAATCTATTTTTATTTAAGTACGTTATTATCAAAGTACATTTAGTTTTTATTTAAGTACGTTATTATTCCAAAATTGTTATAATTTAGTGGGCAGTGTTTATAGTTGTGAAAAATATTCTTTAGCAAAAAAGTGTTGCAAGTTGTTTTTACACTTATGCAATATTTAGTTTTATCATTATAGTTTTAGACTGCAATGTTGTAATGAAGTACTTATATTGTACTGGGAGAAGCATTCTTAGTTTTGAGTAGCCATTCATAATTTTTGTTATTAATGATTTAGGTTTCAGTTAGTGAACAAGTTTCAGTAATAGTTAGCTGTCAATATTTATTGTCTTATTAACTAGCTCTCCTTACAAGGATAATGAGCAGGACAAATTGCTGGCTAGGGCTGTTCCAGGTTTTTTGAAAGGCAAAGGGTAAGTTTCAAAGGGCATTAGTAGTAGCATATACTAACACAACTAAAGCAAATGCCTTTTCTTTCAATATATTATGTATTTTACTAAGGGTATAACCATAGATAGCTTTAATTACCACGCCAGAGGAATTATGTTCACATACACACGTTATACAATTTTAATGATTTTTTAAATATAATCTCTTATAATCCTACATTTTGCTGTGTATCTATCCAGATTTTATATTATGTGCAGATTATGTGCAGATTAAATAGCTCATCTGTTTTTGCAATTCAATAATGTAATATACCGTTCCTAGGACTATGTCCTTTTAACTGGCATTTGAAAAAATCATATATTTGTTCCTTCCTAAAAAAAATCTTTCCCACTGAAAACCTAGCATATCAGTGAGATGATCTACCTTTAACCTTCTCTCTGGTACACTAGGTTGCCTTATGTAAAGAATATTTTATGGGCACAAGCCTCTTCACATATAATCTTCTGCATGCTGTTTGAAAGTTTTCATTCCTGGGAACTATTTAACATGACTGCTCTGCTTATAAAGATTAGCACTACAGTAAAATATCTGTTATCATTGAAATTGTTTCTGAATATATTTGCTTCGGATTTGCGGATAAAATTAGCAGCTTTTGTAAGATTTTTTTGTTTTACATTATGCTTCATGGTAGCACTAATCCTAGGCTAGTTTGTGCATGTCCTTGAGCATCACTGTCCTATTAAACTTTGTAAGTAGTCTGTATGTCCTGTACTAGCAAATTGATACCTTTGCTTTATAGGCCTGATGTCTTAAGTTCTGTCCTAAGCTCTACCTGCAATGGTTGGGTTTGGTAACAAACTGAAGAACATTTGACTGCGCATTTGTAAATTCCCATTTCGCACTCTTACTTGCTCCTGCTTTCTCTGTTTTATTTCTCTTTGTCTGTCCGGACTACACCCTCCTTCCCTCAACTCTGTTTCAGGTTACAGTATAGCCTCGATGTTGCAGACAGGCTGGCTGATGAACATGTTCTCATTGGGTTGTATGTCAACATGCTCCAGAACAACCCCTCACGGTTAGTGCAGGCTGGGTGCCTTGGTGGGGTCTCTAGAGAAGAGGGACACAAGCCTGATCATCCAATGGAGATTCCTCAAGAATGGAGCAGATCTGACTCGATTGAACTGGTCTTCTCATTCCCTTTTATTACCACAGCATGCTAAATTTCATAAATAGTTGCCTTGATTAGAATTATTGCCATGAATATTGATTTGCATTAGTGCTTATGATGCAATCATTCATGTATTTATAAATATTATATTCAACGGGACTCATTTATCTTAGTAGCATACTAATTGGTGTACAAACAGCCTATGTGAGACAGTTTAGGAATATTTTATATGCTCTGAGTACACGAAAAATATTTGGTTATAGCTCCCAATCCCTACAATATTTGCTGCCAATTACATTTTTTTTAAATTGAGATTTTAAATTTACAAAGGGTAAATTATTAAATAAGGAATAATTATAATTATGTTTTGAGTATTTAATAATATTAACTGTATTTTACAAATTTAACATACGTTTAAGTTTTTATTTAGCCCTATTACTTACTACTTTACCATGATCCTATTTTCTTTCTAGAATGTATCCATTCATGGGCCAACTATAGCTATCAGGTCAAAAAAGTTTTCAAACTCCTAATCTACAAATACTGCGCAGCACACTCTTTTTTATAAAGGAGTGACTTCTAAGCAAAAAATATATAACCTTTATTGAAAAAGCTGTGGTAAATACAGATTTAACATACAGGTGTACTTGGAGAATTGGGGATCAAACTGTTAACAGTAATGTTACTGATAATTGTTTAAATTGTGTTTTTATTATTTGTGCATGTGCTTATTTTCCACTCTTTTTGTTATCTTATGTTTCACTTTAACCTTGTGAAATAGATGCAATTGTTGATCAGGCATCTAATAAGCCCATGGCTTAGTCAAGATTTCTGCCTATTTCTTTCAACCCTAAAATTATTTAAATTAGAGTGTATTGGATTTCCTCTTGACAAAAGTGTGTAAGGGAGTGTTCAATTATTAAAAGTGAAGAAAATCGACATCAGTCAAAGTGGTACTTCATCATGGTCTCTGGGATTCACAATGTTGATCTATGTGTTTGCATACAGCCACACTGAGACTCTTGTAGAGTTTATAGAATTCATTGGTGGGATCCCTGTCCCTTCACATACTGTGCAAGTAGGCATAATCCCAGCTTTTCTGTTTTTCAATTGTCACAACATCAGCACATTTGTCCTTGAACTGATCATCAAATTGCTTTTTCAAATATAATATACATATACATATACATATACATATACATATACATATACATATACATATACATATACATATACATATACATATACATATACATATA